AGAATTACACATTAAAAGGGGATGTCATTCCTGGCGACTGCACAGTGTGGAAGAGTAGTGGGCTCAGCAGCTGTAGAATGTAATTTGGAAAAAGCCCAATATTTGAATGAAAGTCAGAACTGCAATAGATGCAAGGAATTCCCCAAAATATGTCCTAGAAAAATAGGTGCTTTGTCTTGAATAAATTATGTATAAGCTACCCAGGTGTTTAAATATCTGTGATTTTAAATCAGGTTGTTGTTGTTTCACGAGGGGAGTGGCCTTTGGAGACACTGTTCACCTGCAACCTCAGAGATGAGCCTGATGGATCTAGGGATGCTCTCAGGATAACTCTGGGTCCATCAACAATTAAATTCCCAAGTCTGACTGGGTATACAAGGCAAATGTAAATTTACATTGCTGGAAATACCATGTTGCATAGTTATCAGAAATGTCTTCTGGCATTCATTTTTTTCTATTGAACATAGTCCTTCGTGTCTCGATAGAAGGTTCCGTCTCTTAAGTTGCCTCCAAATGTTTTCCTCCCAAATGCTCTGTGCACTTTGATGCACTGTTGGTTGCAGTTCTGCACATGTGCTTCTCAAAATGGTGGAATCCTGTATGCAAAATCACACCAAGAAGGGAGGGCTAAAGTTCATGGAATTAACCCAGAGAAAGTAGTTTTGAAGAAGGGCATGGGGTTGGTTCTATGAGAACCACTATGTTGGCTTCATGGATTGCTACAAGTAGCCTTCCCGACCAGGTCCATGGGCCAAATTTAAGCTGGAATGAAACAAGTAGAGTGCAGCATCCAGTTAACAACTATACTGAGAAACAGGCAGTATATACAGAGATATGCACTGCTTACCCGACGTGTACTTTTAAGGTGCTTAATGATGTCTTAGGGAACAGAGCAACATATACATATATGCAGTGTATACATATCTAGATGTATATTAGAACCATAATATGGAACCAGATGTATTCCCAGATCCCTGATTTCATTAGATTCTCTAAGCCATAAAAATGTATTTAAAAAATTTCATATAAAATATTTATTAAAAAAATGATAACTCTTTACATAAAATAGCTCCAGTTTGCTGGTTTTCTGTTTCATTACAGTTCATGGACTGCATCACCCATGTTGTTTCATAGCGATGCCATCTGGACTAAGGAGAGCTTAAACAGCTGTGTGTGATGAGACAGCTCTACTACTCGGTCCACCATGTCCTGGAGGGCCCCCGTGTGAGGGTAATGCAGGGCGGCCACCTTGGTGGCCATGACAATGCTCTTCAGCAGTTCACACAGCAGGTTGCTGGAGTTCATCACCCTGTTGCGTATGTCCTGGGTGGTCACTTGCCTTGCGAGTGTGTCCCCAATGAACACCAGTTTGTGAGCGCTCAGAATGACAAACTTGCTGTGCGCAACGAAGATGCGCGGCGGCTGCGCTGCGTTGACGCAGCTGAAGAAGGCGTCGATGGCGTTGAGGAGGGAGTTGAAATGAGTGTTGCACTGCTCGGAGTAGAAGGAGAGCAGCTGCCTGTCGTGAAAGGCAACGGTGCCGCTGGCGGCCTGCAGAGCTGGCGGGGCCTTCCACTTGGAGATGTCGTTCTCCACGGGTTTGGTGATCTCCTGCTCCAGGCGCTGGAACTGATGGATCTGAAACGTCAACAGAAAGGCTCTCTTCAGAGAAGGTCCTTATAACAGTCCCTACAACACACTGTTCCCATTTAGAGTTCCACCTGCCTTTGGTAGATCCCAGAAACCATTTTACTGTCATCTCTTCGTGCCCCCTCAGCCAAGCACACCGACACTCTGCTTTTCACATTTTTTCTGAACAACTGCCCGGCACAATCTCTGAGAGCTTTAGCACATCTGAAAGGTAGACAGCTAAGTTGTTCAGGCCCCCTCCGAGTTCATACCAGTGCCAGTCACCTCCAATAACTTTGCATTTAAAACAACTATTTATCCCTCTCTGTGCCAGTTATGTCTCCCTCATGCTTTGACTCTACAGGGGTTCTGGGCAGACCAGACCAGGCACCTGTAGCTTTCAGGCAAACAGCCAGTATGTGCAAGCACGCACAGGATTTTGCAGGGACCTATGGCATATATGTATATTTTGTGTCTATATAATTGTTACATATTACAACTATGCCCCAAAACAACACTGGCTATCCTACATTCACCTTACACTACATTATATATGTTTTTAAAGAGCTTTTATACTGGGGAATGAGTGGTAATCAACTATTTTGGTTACCATAAACCTAAATATAAACAGCTCACCCTCCCAATACTTTATCTGCATTTAAAAATCTCTGCAATTTGCAGGCTGTTGCTCATTTGAAATATTCTGAAATTACGAATGAGAGATGCGCCCGAGTGACAATGACATTTTTGCAGTCTTTAACATGCTGCCCTTCTAGCCTCCAAAGCACAGCGAAGGGCAGGGCCACGAGGAGCTGGTGCTGCTGGGGCAGCCTGGGCCCATCGCCTGGGCACGAGGTTGCAGCTCAGCAAAGCCAGGTTCTCAAGTTGGCTTTGTCACTGACCGACTGTGGGGTGGCATAAAAGCCTGTTCCCCCCATCTGTGGTAAAGCTTTGGAGACAGAGGCTGCTTTTTATTACACACAGGCACTGGGCCCTCCACAATGGTACACTGTAATAAAAAATAACTAGTCTCTTAAAGTTGGAGATGGTTGGAAATTGTTTTCAAGGGAAAGGCTTCTTCCTGCTGCAAGAGAGGTCACGCCAAACAGCGAGAGCGCTGGCTCTGCTTCTACTCAGTTACTACGTGCCTGCAAGTAAATGAACAGGACAAAGATGCTGATTTTCAGGAGAGCTAATTTATGATAAATACTCAAGCTTTGGCACAAGCAGTGGCTGACACAGATGCACAGGGCTAGGAAGGTGCATGTCCTTGTCCTTTGTCACCAAATCCATCAATGGGGGAGCTTAGCTGGCACAAATCCTGCTTGAAAAGAAAGGAGTCCGGGCCCAATGCCTGCCATCTTCACTTCCCAGCTGTGTGTTCTGGCACTCCTGCACGCTTCATAGCTTAGTTACTAATAGCTCCACACTGTTAGGACAAGGGCCCCTCTTGCTGCACCTGACCAGTACCACTCAAGTACAAAGCACACTGCAGTTCGATGTGATCGTTTTGCCTGACCACACGTACCTGATGGTGCTCTAGCTCCATTTTGCTCTGCTTCATGATATTTTCTTTTTCCAGCAGCTCCTTCTGCTGTCTTTCAAACTCTTCTTTCCCCTGTTTTGCACAACATCAAAAGACATTTGATTAAAGCAAAACTGACTTAAATATCAACTTGTAAATTCACTAGCAGGTTTCTTTCTACTGGCTTTCACTGGTAGTGCAAGCTTGAGAGTAGGGAGGAGGATAGTGACAGAGGCAAAAGGGTATTGCTATTATGTATGGAACAGTCCTAGCTGAGGGCAAATAATCCCTCTAGTGAAATTCCTCTTGAAGATGTATTAGTGCAGCAATCTGCTTGCCACCTTTCTGCAAACAGCTCTTGCCAGAAGAAGCACCAGTCCCTCTCACTTCGCCTTGCGCAGAACAAGGCGTCTGATCTACCTACCTGCAGGTGAACGTAATCGTAGTCGTCCATCCAGCTCTTCTCCACGCTCTCGCTGGTGGTGCCATGGGGGTGCTGCCCCTTTCCCAGGAGCAGGCAAGGGGAGCCACAGGGCTCCTGGCTCTTCTCGCCCCGCGGCGGCGTGTGAGGGCTGCCGCGGCCGTGGTCGGGCACGGTCTCTGCTACGGCCCGGGCTCGCGCGCTGCCAGCCGCCTGCTTGAAGAGCACTTCGGCGTTGACGCTGATGGTGGTGGTCAGTTGCTTGGCGTCGTCTGGGACCGTCCTCGCCACCATCACAAACCGGTCCAGGTCATCACACTTGTTGTGCAGCCTGTTGACGGCGAGGACGTTCAAAGACCAGCTATAGCTGTTGAGGTCGTGGCTGGTCTGGGTGAGGATCTGGTGGGAGTCCTCCAGCCTCTGCACCTCCCTCCTCATTTTGTTGTAGAGACTCCCCTCGCCCAGGCAGGAGGCGTTGGCGGCCGAGCCCTTCGCGAACTGCAGGTAGGCCACCAGGGACTGCTCCACCTTGTCCACGGCGCTGCGGATCTCGTTGAGGTGCTTCTCCAGATACCCATACGAGCGCCAGTCGGCAGTAACGAAGGCCATGAGGTTACTGACACCTGCCTCCATCATCTGCTGAAGATAATAAAGCCTCTCTATGGCTGTGTCTGGGTCAAGAATTAGTCTTTTGTCCTGAGCAGCGGATGCTGAGAAAGAAGACTCTTTTGATGTTGTTGACGATGTGGACATGTTACTCCTGGTACTTCCCGTGCTGGAGAAAGACAGCCTATTTATCCCGTCGGTCACATCCTGGAAGCCTTTGGTCTCTTGTAGCATGGGTGGTGGTACATCATAGACACCTTCCCTTTCTTCGGAGATGACACTTTCATTTAATCCTGCCTGTTGTCCTGGAAAGGCAGTGCCCCGGGGGGTATCATACACATCCTTCTGAGGTGCAATTTGCTGTCCAAGAAATTGGTTTTGGTGGTTCACAGGGATGTCATACACACTCTGCTTGCGTGGCACTCCATCAGTCGATAAAATGCCCTCAGAAGAAAATTTCTGACTAAGTTCTTTCCCAGTTGCTTTGGTGACGGGAGGAGGAATATCGTAAACTCCTTCTGGTCTTGCACTGTGGCCCAGTGGGGATGAAAAATCCTGCAAATTTTCCCTCAGTCCTGTATCATCTCGGCACACAGGTGGTGGTGTAGCATAGATCTGAAATACAGAACAGAAAAATAAAATAACTTACATCTTCCATATGGAAATAAAAAGCCAGGATGGAAGATCTGCTATCATGTTTCTTTGGGTCAGATACCCTGAGCTGCACAGAGGGTCAGTTTTAATCTCTTACTTATTAATGTTCATCTTGATGAAAACTCTCCTAAGCAGCAAGGACAACCTAGTTCTAATTACTAAGTCACACTGCCTACGGTCAGAAATTCTGACACAAAGCTTCCCTTCCTCTATTTTACTCAGCAGCTCAAACATCTAAGGAAATATTTGAAGTATTGAACCTCCTTCTCCTTCAAGATGAACTCTTTCTTTAAACAAATTTTAGGTCAGACATGAAAATAAAGCACTCTGAGGAAACACCATGACACTTACCCCTTTGGCAGGTGGTATATCATAGATGCCCAAAGCTTTTGCTTCTCCCATGGGAACTGGATACGCAGGCCCCTTAGCAGATGCTGGGGGAATGTCATATATCTAGAGAAAGAATAAATCCATTATGGAAACAAGTTACCTCGTGAGAGCTCTGATCTTAGATGATTTGTTGTTGTTGTTTCTGTGTTTCCTCTCAAACAGCGGGAAGATCAGGAGGGGTGTGCAGCTGTGTTTCATACAGGAGACCTACTTGAATTTGCCTGATACTTTGGACACTTAGGAAGAACTACACCTCTGCTACACTGCCTTCATCCTTAAGGGCGAAAGCAGTGCTGGTCTATTACAGGTCCCTCTCAGCTGCACAGGGCAGCAGTGTGTTTGTGTGACCAGATTTGATGGTATGTTCACTGACCGCGATTAGAGGGATGGAGGAATGTGCTTGTGTTGGTACACGCTGCGGAACGCTGAGCCCAAGGCTGCTCCTGTGAGCACCACACATCTCCTTCCTCGGGTGCACTGGGGGCCACCGTACTGGCAGAGAGCACCGACACCAAATGTTGCCAGTGTCCCACCTGGTGGCATGTCCTGCACCACAGCAGGTGCTGCATGTGCACTAACACAGCCAGTGTTGGTGTCTCTTACTTCAGGCTCCCTGACAGTTTCAGCCACTTGGACTCAACACAGCATTAGGTACCACTGGGCTTCAGTGCTGTTTCCTAGAGGAGCTGCACTATGGAAGAACCGTGCAGAGATGCAGCGCTATTAGGTACGAGGCTCTCCAACATCCACTCTAGATTTTGAGTATTGAGGGGTGCTCTACAGTACAAAGACATATTTCAAATTCAGTGACACAGTGCAGCAGAGATATGGCAGTAAGAATTGCCTGCATGGTAACGGTTCATCTAGGAAACAATTTTGCTCTTATTGAGTGAATTACTGTCAGCTAAGCAACAATAAAGTAAAGGAAAAAAATACTGTTCCCAGGCAACACATTTATTCTGCTCAGATATTCTGTTTGATCAGAACACAGAAAACAAATGGGACTTTGGTGTTTGGTGTGCTGCCAGATCTTACTCAACATCAAATACAACTTTGAAGTTCTGCACTCTGTGAAAAAGCCATTGCATCTAATTAAAACATACTTTCGCTCTAGAATGACAGAACTTGCTCTGTCATAAACTTAAGGTGGGAAGTTACCACCTTTTGTGCCCTGTCAAAGCTGTTGCCAGTTTTATTGATACTTACCCCTTGGAGAGGGCGAACGGGGGGGATATCGTATGTGTCCCTCTGGTATTTGGAAGGGAACTCATAAACGTAACCTTGTCCTGACCTGACTGGAGTTATTACCTGTGGATTAAAAGAGAAGGGTATGAAAACGTAAGTCTTTGAAGCTCGTGACATGTTTTCTCTGTAACCATGTAAGGTTCTCGGTAGGAACATTCCAGTGTTATTGGCTTTCAGATTTTAATGCAGCAATTCTAGTAACATAGGTTGCCTATGCTTCTGACAGCTGAAAATTGCAAAATGACTCTTCGTAGCTACAAAAGCACCATCTTTTCTTTCCTAGTCAGTTCTGACCAGGCTGGTTGCTGGTCCTACAAGATCTCTTATTCACCAAGCCTAGATTCTGCAGCAGAGAGGAGGCCTTAGAGAGCTCTGCACTTCCCCCCAGTACAGAGCACGCGATGTGATGGCCACAGCACCCGCTGACCGAGTGAGACCCAGGGCTGTGCGCATCTCTGCTAAGCCTAGGGAGCAGCTGAGTGTCTTCCCTTAGTGACAGAGGCTTAAGATACTCTCTATACCTTACTCTCAGAGCTTCCCCCTTGCCTGGGGAGGTATTTGCCCATGTACTTCAGCATTGTGGGACTGCTCTGCGCGACAACATCCCGAAGGAAGGGCTGAGCGAGCTGTGGCTGGAAGAGCTAAGCTCAAACCTACCAAAGCAGAGCACTCAGTTGGGCTGCCTCCGTCTGGCTCGTCTGTATCGGAGGCTAAAAGAGGTGCAAAATGTGAGGCCATTCTTGAAGTACGTACACAATGTAAGAACAGTCTCCGAAAAAAGCTTAGAATTTACATTTTTGATGTTTTCTAAACCATTAACTACCATAATGACTTTGAATAAAATATGGTCAAAAATAAATGCCTCACATCTTGGACAGTATCTGTGCGGCAGAGTTTCAGTAGCGTGTGGTGCAAAAGGCGCAGTTACCTCAGCCCAGAAAGAGATGGGTTTCTAGAGGAAACGCTGACATCTTAACCTCTGCCACTGCTATTTAACTCTAATAGGGAAGCACAAATAGTGGAAACCAAAGGCATAAAATGGCAAATGACATAGGCCCATGTAGGATGCGGTTTCATGCTCAGCTGGGGAGAATTCTGTAACGAGATTACTTAACTAGTCTTGGAAATGCATGCAAAACATAAAACAATTTATGACCGCATGCTCAGCAAACATCCCCTAACAGTTTTGCCATAAGAAATCCTAGTATCCTGGCTAAACATCCTAGATACATTTTTTTTTTTTAACTGAGGTCTGCAGAGCAACTTCTTGATGCGAACCCCCTACTTCCTCTCTGCTATGGCAATGACACCGGCTTTCCTCCTTTTTACTTGCTGTCCCAAATACGGCTTTTTGACAGGATTCAGTTCACTGCCCTTGAGAGGACTCCTGATGCATTTAGTGTTTGCATTTAATGTTTACATACATATGATTTCTTGGAAAAAAAAGCATAAAAACATACGGAATTTATACAGACAGTTCCTTTCCCACAGCCACCTACTACACTGTAAAAACACATGTACTGAGAAACCTTTAAGAAGGTTCCTCCTTAAGTGGAGAAACCTGCCTCTGCGTGAGGTGCTGATTGCTGCCGCGTGGGACGAGTGGCCGGCCTGGCTCATGTCCGTGCAGGAGGGAACTGCTGCCTCAGCCTGAAATTGCCCTTCGGAGAAACACCAGCGAACAGCTCAGCTGGCACCTGCTCCAGGAGCTGAGCTGCGTTCTGAATCCCGACGGTGGCAAATTGGACCTGCTCACACCCAGAGCACGCACATGTGATGCTCCTCACAGCCCTGCGGGCGCCGTCCAGCCCCCTCTAGGGCCCCTCACGTCTTCCAGGTTCGCGGAGCACCACGATGCGCTCCCGCTCGGCACCCAGCGGCCAGCCTGGCTCAAGCCTGGCCTCATCCAGGATCCTGTAACTCCAGCACCCTCTCCCCGCTCAGAGGATGAATTTCAGTGAGCAAGCTCAAGGAAAAGTCACAGGTCTCTAACATAAAACAGGACGCGAAGCAAAGCAGGTAATAAGGTTTGCACACCTAAAAACTGTTGTCGTTGCTGTGATAGGTAAATACAGCGCTTTCCTTTGATATAAGCCTAAATGGCAAGGCAAACAATATCCTTATGCCACAGAGGCTGGGGATGTGGAATAAGAGCTGCTCGCGTGTTCAGTTTTCCCAAGAAGATCTCCCCTTCACTCTGTCAGGCAGCAGTATTGTGCAGCTGCGCAATTCCTGTAGCTCATCCTTAGGGACCCTTCCCATTCTCTTCAGAAAAGGGCGACACACCAGACGTCCAAAGGCTTAAAAAAATACCAGGACACTGTTTTTATAATCTGCTGCTGCTGCTGTATAATCCTACATTATCACACTCACACTAATCTGGTCAGATGAAGGAAGCTATTTCCACTCAGTACTGCATGACCCTTTTTTTATCATGTATTCCGGCACATTCATTTTGTTGGAGGCTGCTCCGTCTGGGTGGAACAAGCCCCTGTTCCGGCGGCTTCTGTCTGCTGGCAAAGACGGCGAGAGGCTAAAACAGTAAATTTTCCAAACAAAAATGCACTGGAGCAGACAGCTCCTTTTTAGGCCCCTGAGATAGTCACACAAAAGACAGAAAATATGGTTCAAAAAAACCCCAGCAACACCCAGTAACAACAGCAGTTTGTTGATAATGTGAAGCCCAACTATGGTCTCCCAGTGACTCAGGTGTGTCTTCCTGAATGGAAGTTTACTATCAAGAAACGGCATGTTCTGAATGATTTCATCATAAAATTCTCCATAAATGATGAAAAGGTCAGCACATCATCCAAGAATATTTCCTGTTCTACCTCCCGTGCTCTCCCTTCTAACACCGTTCACTAGCTGAACTTGCCTTCTGCTGCACGGCTTTTCCTACTCACTTCAGAGCAGAAGCTGCTCATCACGAAAATACATCTTCAGCAAATATTTTGAAAGGATGATGTGAAAAACTAGATTATTTCTTCCGATTCTCATGCCTCAAAGATACTAGTATCTCACAGGAAAGCCAGGACATGTTCGCACTGGTCCTATTGCATAAGAAAGAGAAGGGTAGCTGGGGAGATAATCCTATATTATACTAAGAAAAGCACGGAAACCAAGATTTTCAGAAGCAACTTTTGATTTGGCATATTCACCCATAAATAACCCATAAATGAACTTCCTGTTTCTGAATAGGATGCTCAGCTCCTTCAGTGTATTGTTCAATCTTTCCTTTTTTTTGCGTTTTGAATGCTTGATGGTAGCTTCATTTTGAAGATGGACTTTGGAAGAGACAGGATGGCTGCTAAAGAGAAGTTCCTGTCTCTCACTTTGGGAATAGGGATGGCAGCCCTGTCTGGTATTTAGGAATTTGTTTCCTAACAAATGTCACTTAACTGCAGACCATACAAGTTTTTTTTTTCTTTCCTTTTACTTCTTCTGTTTTAAGAATGTCTGTGGTCATCTGGATTTATATAACCCTGCATTTCAAACCAGCAATTTTCCTTGTTTATGCGTTAAAGGAAACAGATGGTGTTCCCACAAACTATCTAGCCCAGCATTCTCAAAACATCATAACCACTTAATCCATGCAGAGCAACTAACAGGGGGAGCAGGTTTGGCTCTGGAGAAACATGTAATGAGCCTACTGCAAACTTCCAGGACTGAAAAACAAGGACAAGTGAGCAGGAAGTTTGTCCTGTTCTTGCTGAAGACCATGCTCTTCCAAAAGCAATTACTTGGGACCTTTCCATGCCAACTGCATGTTCTTGACCAAGAAAAAGAGCTGAATGTGCACGTACTTTGCAAAATAGCCAGCCTTGTGATTCATTAAGTACCCCTTCCTTAAATATAAGGAAACCAAAACACAAGTTTTTGGCCAGGATTAAAATGGAAATGAGGCTATAAAAATAAAGAACACTACTAACTAAGGGAACAACAAGACAGTTCTCTGCTTATCACAGATAGGCAAAATTGTCCTTTACACTGCCCTTTGAACAGTATTTGGCCCATTGGAATGCTGTTGGCCTGTTCCCATTGATAGCAATGCTTGCTACGCAGCACAAGGGCAACTGAGCTTCCCTGAGCTTCACAGGTGAGAAATCTGAAGCACAGATACGTTCAACAACTTGCTCCTAATCCCAGGCAGAGGGCAGACTTGAGAAGGGCAAGCGGGTACTACGCACAGCCCCAGACAGGTACTCAGAAAGCAGCTGTCTTTATCCAAATGCTTGTTCTTGGGGACTGTGGCTAAGCTGAACAGTGAGGGGATGCATTAAGAGAGGACTCTCCGATGATGATCAAGGCATTTGAAAGATCTGCTGTCTAAACTCAGCCCTCTTAACAGAAAGGACAGAGTGTTTCCTCTCTTTCACACACAGCAGCAAGATTTCCAGTGACTATCTGATCATCTATTTCCTGGCAATACTACCCATCACATCACTCAGTGTAGACTGTAGTAATAGACATGCAAAAAAAGGATTTTATGAAGCAGTAGCCTTGACTTAGTTAAACAGTATATTTGCTACTCATTAATTTGTTATATATGAAAACATCCAATGTGGTTCCTAGCTGTTAAGCAGTCACGGTTGGGGTTATGTTTTTGTACATGCTATGGATACTCTCAATTATAGAGCTTGTTTTTGCGAGCTGACACAGGTCTTAAGATTATCAAATCACAAGACTTTAGTTTGGCATAAATAAGGAATGAAAATCTGGCCACTAAGCATGTTTTGTCAGAGTATTTTCTGCCAAAATGGAGATGTCAGACAGCCTTTTGATCAAGGCTCGCACACACTGAAGCAGAGGGGAAGAAGCCAGTAGAGGCATTTTTTCTAGTGTACCAGACTTAGATCTGAATCTATAAGCTGGTTTCTAGTGGTAGGAGCCTCACGGCTACTGCAAGGCAAGAAGAAATCAACAGCAATGACCGTATTCTCTTCTTTAGGCTGACTGAGATACCAGTTTCACTGTGTGGCAGGAAAAAATGTGAGCTGCCGACACACATCGTGACACTGCAGCTTTCGCCCTGGCCGCCTTCACTCGGTGCTCCCCGACTGGGT